TAATCCTTAGTGATTTATGAATCCAGGAGCCCAAGGAATTTGAAAATATCTAATCTATATGGTCTATCACTGTTTGGAGAGAATTACTTTTCAAAGCCCAACTTAAAGCAGACTGAAGTAGAGACATCTATTTTGTTAGGTGCTGATTAATGTTTAGAGACCTCTGAAGAATATAGGGGTACAGGTTTAGAATGCACGGAAATAGAAATGATTTGATTTGTGAGGGATTTTGTAACAGAAATATGAAACATGAGTGGTGAGATCCTTTCATGGTAAGTATTATAGCAAACGTAAAATAACTTTGCTTTGAAGAAGCTTGAAGCTTTGGTACAATTTTATTTTTTTCAACAGGCTTCTCAATTATAAAGCTTAATAATGACATAGAGAGGAATTATGCTTAGGGAAGAAGCCAAGAATTATAAAATCTTTAGTTAGGTATTAATATTGATTAAAAGGGGGCAGGAATATCAGCATATTATATTTGCAGAAAAAAATAATAAATTGCTATAAAGCATCTTAACTCAGTTATTTACCTAAAAGTTTGGTTCACATGGTATTGTGGTTTTTCTTTTAATAAAAGACAAATGGAAATGTAAGTTGATTAATGGCTTACTCAAGTTCTTTCAGCACTCAGAAGAGTGAACTGGAGCTAGATTTTAGGTCTCTTAACTTTTATTCCATGGTTGTTTCTCCTAGAATTGGCTGTAGGGATCACACTATGAAGACTTGCCAGACTGAGAATTATGCTGAAAAAGAAGGTATTAGTCTTAGCTATTGTAGAGAAGAGAGATAAAGAGGGTGAGAATATACACAATAAGGTCATAATAAAATACGCCACCAATGGCGAATGTAGCAGTTGCACATGTTTGAAAAACTGGGCCACAATAATTACACTTATACATGAAAATCAGGTTATCAGACTTGACTGAAAGAAGATAACAGGACCCCATGGAGAAAAAAAATAAATTTTCCTTCCTGGATGTCAAGTGCATCTCTTGAGAAGTCAGCCACCCAAGGGCCTGTGGAGCTTTCTGTTTTCAAACATTAGGATGATGCAAATATACCTTCTCATGATGCACCCAACGTTTACATCAACTAAATCTTTGGTCACAAGTCAGAGAAATCTTCCTCTAAAGGAAAGAGCCATTGCTATTGACAATTCAACTTTAGAAAGGTATGACTCTGAGTTGTTTTGACTGACATGAGAGAACCGTTTACCTTTATGTGCCCTGCTTCTATAGTTAGGACTTGCACTTGTCCCAGGCAAGATTATTTATACTCCTGTAAAACTTCAATACAGGGCAGATAGGTGGAAAGCTAAATGGGTAGTTTTTTTTATTTAAACAAAAAACCCACCAAAGCTTATTAAAATTTAAATTTCTAATTAGCTATGTTAAGTTATATAAAAAGTTTTGTACTGGAATTTGAAAGTTTATTATTTTTATTCTCTGTCATTGAATGAAGCCATTGTGGTTCTATTTGTTGTCACTATTAATATTAAGTGCTGGATAATGGAAGAAGGCACATGGTATTACTTTTAACTAGGGTCAACAAAGGTGATATTGCAACAGTGAAGAGTTGGTCTTTGTTGTCCATATCTTATATCTGGTTTTCCCTCAGATTTCACTGTTATTCCTCATCTCTCCCCAATATATAAGCGTCTCAGATTTCTACTCTTTCATGACTTATTTTAAGGGGTCACAACACGGTCAGGTAATTTATATTTTAAAAGTTCCATTTAGAAAAATTATACCTTAAAATTCACAAAGAAAACAATGTCAACAAGGGCAATAAATTGTCAATATTGGAATTTTAAGCATTAGTGATGGCAATAGGAGATAATTTGTAGCAGAACATTTCCATGGTCACTTTCTTACTATGTCACTGTTTGTGTTCTACTTGTTACAGCCACAGTAATAACCCTACCTCCACCACAATTCAAAAAACACAAACACGAGGAAGTCTTTCTTTCTTAGTACTTATTCCCAAAGAGATGAACTGCAGAGGTATGTCTTGTTCAATACTATGTTCTGAACAGACAGCATAGATTGATTGTTTTAAGTAGACAAAGTTCAAAATATATAGTTTTAAGTGTGTTCATTATGAGGGCAATGTGACCCAAAGATGTAAAATAAAATTTTGTTGTTTATTAAAGGAAAGTTAGGTACCTACATAAAGACAAAACAGCTGGAATTGGAATGAATACTGAGAAAAAAGCACAAAAACAGGCTTGTAGAGCACTTAAACCTTAGGAAGATCTAAATGGGACTAACTCTTACATTGTTCAAAACTGGCTTTTGAACAAAAGCTCTGTTCTTAGCCCTTTATTAAGATATTGATATCTCATTTCTACAGAAAGAAATTGAACACATATTCTCTAAAATCTATCTTTTAGGGCAGCACCTGTGGCTCAGTGAGTAGGGTGCCAGCCCCACATACCAAGGGTGGTTGGTGCAAACCTGACCCCAGCCAAAACTGCAATAAAATCTATCTTTTGATGTTGTCCCTCACTGATGTTGGTATCAATTAAAGATGCAGGTTTAGACAGTTTCAGTTGCTCCAAACACACTGGAAATGAAAAGACTATGCTTTAGCCTTCTAACACTAAGTGTTTGAATCTGCAACCCACTGTCTTTAACTTATTTAATTCTTTCTGGACACAGACTAATAGAGTCTTAGAGAGAAGCTGAGTAGACAAGACCCTAACTTTGTGAAAGCCGAGTTGAAAATAATGTAGAGATAGTCTTAACTGCCGCTGTGCTAAAATCATCTAACCATCATTTACTCCTTCATTTATCTTTTAAAATACAGATATTGTTTCCATTTTCTTTATCTGCCATGAATCGAAGTAAAGATTCTATGGCAATAGAAAATAAAAATACTCGCTTATATACATTTATTTTAAATATAAATTATATTAAAGTCAAGGAAATGCTGAATAGTCTTTCATGAGTTGAAAATAATCAGCTGACATGTCCATGAAAAGTATTTAAGTATTAGCAGGATATGTTACTGAAATACTTCATTCTAGAATATGCACATGATAATAAATGCTATAATTAATAGTATAAAATACAGACAGGATAGGACATATTGTCAAGAACTTGCCTATAATTTTAGTTCTTTCAGAGGCCAGGATAGAAGGGTTTCTTTAGGCCAGGAGTTTGAAATAAGCTTGGACAACATAGCAAGACCCCATCTCTAAAAACAGATTAGTAGGCATGGTGGTATACTACTGTAGTCCCAGTGACTTGGGAGGCTGAAATGGGAGGACAGCTTGAACCTAAGAGTTCAAGTGTGCAGTAAGTTATGATCATGCCACTTACTGTAGCCTGGGCAACAGAGTAAGACTCTAACTCTCAAAAATAATAACAAAAGTAAAAAATAATAATCGGGATACTCTCCTGCTCAGTATATCCTTAATGCTTTATTAATCGGACATAACAAAATCTGTTTGTAAGAAAATAGTAAGATTATATTATAGGATAATTAGGCTGGTGGTAGAGGATAGAGTGGTAGAGTAGGCACAGGAAGAATCAGTGGGATTCATAAGGAGATTGTTGCACTTCTTTAGCTGGGAGGTGATGAAGCATGTGTTGGGATATTAGCCATGTGAAGGAAGACTGTGGGAGAGGGCAGAGATGGGTAATAAAAGAATGAAATATAAGGACTTATTCTATGGAAGGGCAAGAAAAATTAAACATTATGCCTTGGGAGAGTGGAAGAAATTTAGTTACACTGATAGCAATAAAGTCATCAGAAAAGAATTCAGGTTGGAAAGATATGAGTTCGGTCAGAGGTGAAATATTTAGAAAACATTCACTAAACTGTTTGAGGAAGCATTTAAACCTTAGAGAGAAGCTGAGTAGACAAATGTATAACCAAGAGCTGGTAATAGCCCAGCTTTGCAGAAGCTGGCTGTTATCTTCAACTGGGTACCACAGCTGGAAATAGAAAAGAAGTCACCAAGATCTGTGTACTGGTCACTATGACCTCCATCTCCTTTCTTTGTTTTTATCGTTTTTTTTAAATTTTTTTAATAGATCATAATTGTGTACATTAATTCTCTCATAGGATACAGCGTGTTACTTCTATATGCAGTTTGGAAAACTCTCATCCAGGTAGCCAACATAGCCATCGTATCTTTCTCATAATTGTTGTGCTAAGACAATTATATTCAACCTTTAGAGAAATTCACCTGTACCCAAATAGAATAAACTATAGGCATGATCCCCACAATATCATTCTCTTCACCCATCCTCCCCCCTCCCCCCCCCCTCCCCTTCCCCTCCCCTCCCCCCTCTCCCCTCCCCCCTCTTCTTTCTTTGTTTTTATCTAAATCCATGTAGTCTAGCTATGCTGCTACCCCTAGTGTTCTCTATGAAGTAAGACTAGAGGGGGCTTTCTGGGAAGCCTTTTGGGATATTAGGAAAGCTAAATGACTACCTACCTCCATGTTTCTTTAGCTTTTGTAGAACCTGTGGGCCTAGGGAAATGTTCTTTGTTTGATGTTGTGATGATTTGGGGGAGGTGTAGGAAGCGGGGTGATGCAGTCAAAGTGAAACCATTCATCTTGCAATTCTAATTTAGTTTTCCTTCAGTGTACCATAATGGGTAAGTCAGGTTTGTTTCAAAATATTGAGGTTTTCAAAAATATATTCTACTCTGCAGATAATGGCTGGAAACTTTTGGTGGGAAGTAGTGGAACCTTGTACTTCCTATCATCCCATCTCTCTGACATCACCAGAAGAAACTTCCTTGTCATAGATACTGAGCTAAGTTAGTAAGGATGTAAAGCTTCCAAATATTACACTGCAATATATACAGGATTTAATTGACCTCCCTGCAACATATGTCCTTAAGAAAGCTCTGATGTAAAGTAAATACACTTCATATTGGGACAACACTGGTTTTCTTGTTCTCATGTATTATCTAAAACATTTGGATTGGCAGGTTGTGTAGAGTATGCATTACTAAGATGTTATTGTTATGGTTCTTTGATTCAACATCTTGTGTTCCTCTGATTCTCTCTGCAGATTAATATTACTCACATTTTTCAATGGGAATAGATAACCAGACACAAGTGAGAGAATTTATTCTCCTCGGCCTGTCTAGTGACCGGGACACTCAGGTCTCCCTTTTTGTCCTATTCTTGATAACATACCTCATGACAGTGCTGGGGAACTCTCTCATTATTCTTCTGATCAGACTGGACAGCCGACTCCACACTCCCATGTATTTCTTTCTCACCAACCTCTCCCTTGTTGATGTTTCCTATGCCACAAGCATCGTCCCTCAGATGCTCGTGCATTTTCTAGCAAAACAGAAAGTCATCCCACTCCTGAGCTGTGCAGCCCAATTATTTTTCTCCCTGGGATTGGGTGGGATTGAGTTTGTTCTCCTGGCGGTGATGGCCTATGACCGCTATGTGGCCGTGTGTGACCCCCTGCGATACTCGGCCATCATGAGTGGAGGGCTGTGTACTAGGTTGGCCATCACATCCTGGGTCAGTGGCTCCATCAACTCTCTCATGCAGACTGGCATCACCTTTCAGCTGCCCATGTGCAGTAACAAGATTATTGATCACATATCCTGTGAACTGCTAGCTGTGGTCAGGCTGGCTTGTGTGGACACCTCCTCCAATGAGGTCGCCATCATGGTCTCCAGCATTGTGCTTCTGATGACACCCTTCTGCCTGGTTCTTTTGTCCTATATCCGGATCATCTCTACCATTTTAAAGATCCAGTCGTCAGAGGGAAGGAAGAAAGCCTTTCACACATGTGCCTCTCACCTCACGGTGGTTGCCCTGTGCTACGGCATGACCATTTTCACTTATATCCAGCCCCGCTCCGGTCCTTCTGTCCTTCAGGAGAAGCTGATTTCTGTCTTTTATGCTATTGTTATGCCCATGTTGAACCCCATGATTTATAGTGTAAGGAATAAGGAGGTGAAGGGCGCCTGGCAGAAACTATTAGGGAAAATCTCTGGGTTAACATCCAGACTGACAGCTTCATGAGTCATGAACATCATGTAGGGGAAGGAACTTTGCCACAGTGTTCTCCCTGCAACTCAGATGTGACAGGCTGAACTGCATTGCCCTGGCAACAGTGAAGGAGATGGCCTGCTGGGTGCTGCGGATGTTGTGTGGGAGGCCGAGTGGTTGTGTTGGGGTGTGGGGGGTGGGGATATTTTTATGTCACGGCAGCATGCTCAGTGGAGTTCAGCACTGCTATAACTGAAGTTTCTGCACTTACTAAATCTACATTCTTATGGCCTAAAAATAATTGAACCACAAAATGCTACCTACCATTTTAATTTGTCATATTGTGTGTGGTCATGAACCTATTCATTCTTCTTAGCTAGGACCTTTGGTTCTTACGCATCTGCATTTTGTGAAAGGTTATACATTTTTAACATCTGATGACTCACTTCAAATAACATGTGTTGTATGAAGCCACATTCATAATTGTGTGAGTCAATCCTGAGAAGAGTGTTGGTGTCAAGGCTGAGTAAGATGTTTTTCTTCAGAACCTACTCAATGTGTACTTGATGTCTTTTTCTGAGTGCTGTGGGTAATTCAGTAGAGAAATATCAAGGTAAGGTATTGTTTTACCTTGTTAGGGTTATAATGAATGGTTTTTCGTACTGAAGACTATTATTGACCAAAGAAAAGTTAACTTTCAGGCACTACTTGAGCGAAAGGAATTTAGTGCATATGTAAGGGGTATCATTTAAAATGTTAAAATAGTCCAATCTCAGAAAAATTCACAAACCATGTGAATCTTTAGAAACAAAGTAGGCATCTAAATTATGAGATAATGTATAACCTATCAAAGTTATATTAAAGAGTGGGCAGACTCTCTGGCTAAAGATAATGAAAAGTATGACAATTCAATATGGATTTTGAGGAATTGGGGTAGATGAATCAGGCATGCAAATGTTACCCTCTTGTCTCCATTTTAAGGATCTCTCTCTCCTCCCTTCACAAACATACAAGTGGGGCTTAGCCAAACTTAGTGCTGTGAATTTGAGAATGGACCACATCTATTACGTAATGTAAAAGAAGAAGAAATAAATCTATAAGGTGAGGAGGAGGAAATAGAAGAAAGAACATGATAATAGCTGATCTTCTCACTCTCTGGAAGGAATCTTAGTCCAATTTCTTTAAATCAGTTAATTTGCAGTTTTCATTGGTAATGACATGATAATAGAATCTCAGGTTTTATACAGTGTTGAAGGTTTATATAACCCAAAGCCCCTTTAATGTTTGAATTTCACTTTAATTGTAATCCTATCTTAAATTTTGCAGCATAAGTTAGCATCCCAAGTGATGTCAATGCTAACAGGTTAAGTTTCTTTCTTTTGGTTTTAATTCAAGCATTATCAATGGTGTGCCCACTGCATGTCTGTTGGAATGTATGGTTCTGTGTCAATAATAAGTAAGATTCAGTTCTGACAATCAAAGATATGGTTGCATAGCAGGAATGATGGATAATTAAGCAATAATAAAGCAATGCCATAAGTGTTACAAATACAGTAAGCTCATGGTGGGTGATTGCAGAACTTTTCCTGTTAAATATCCAGATTGAGACCAGAAAAGTGAGAACAAGTTATCCCAAAGCAACACAGCAAAGGAAAAACCCGTGTCAATGTGCAGACATAGGGGAGAGTTGAGAGTCCAGAAATACCTGGAAGCTGCACTTTAGGGCAGAGAAGAGTGAGGCAGTAGTGGGCTGACATGGGTGGAAGGGTGAGTGTCAGTTCATGGAGGGCACTGAATGACATGTTATTTCAACTTCATCCTGATAATAGTGGAGAGTGGGTAAAAATTCTTAATTGGGAGTGCGGTTCGATAAATTCTAAATTTTTGAAATATCAATTGGCTAATGGAGTAGAGAAAGAAAAAAGGAATTATTCTAATGGGCTGCTTCAATAATACCATTGAGACATTAGAAGAATGTGAACTAAGAGTGTACTATGATCTAGGGCCTGACAGGTTGGGGCTAGCAGGCTGGATGAGCATAGATAGACCTGCTCATCGTAACTCTCAAGTGGGCAAATATGGGGAAAAAGTGAGTCTTTAATCTCGGGTGCATATAAAAGGGGAGATTTTGTCATTATCATCAAAACAAGAAATTCAAGGCTATGTATCCAGATATTAGACCTTGAAGACATAGTGCACTCATTAGAAATGTTACTCTCTTCTACAGCATACTGTTGAGGTTATTGCCATGAACCTTCTGCTTTGCACAGGCTGCATGAATCACAGTCTCATAGTGAGTTTCTGTGAATTAAAACCTGTGTATCTCTACATTTCAACATATGCTTTGAATTAATTCTTTCCTAGTTCAAGAGCAAACAAAATTACAAGGGAACTGGACCTCTAATCTGGATCAGATTCTGTAGTCTTTGTTGAGGCTGAAGACCATGTACTCCTGCTGGGTCCTTTCTGTGAGGAGACACTGGGTGGCTTCCTGCAGACAGTCTGACAGGAGGTTAAGAAGAGTGAAATGTGTAGTGTTGAGATGGAGAAGACACTTTCTATGCCCCAGGCCTGTGCAGGGCAGTTGGTTGGGTGCCTCAGACCTTGCTGAGAGAGGGGCTAAATTGGGCCCTGCAGAGCTGAAGGCAGTGAGCAGTATCTGCCTCTGAGCCCTTGTCATTTGAGTCATGAAATGAATACACATGAAGTACAAAAACTTTCAAGAAGGATGATTCCTTTCTGCTCTAGTGATCAGGATACATAGGTGTCACTAGAATGACTGGTTGGATTATTCCATATAAGGACATTTGGATGGGAAGAATTTTGTAAGTGGAAGAATCAGTAACTACCACAGCTTGGTGAGAAATCATAGATGTATATGTTAAGGTGTCATTTTGCCAAAACCAAAGCTATTGGAGAACTAAATATTTAGGCTACATGCTCCTAAATGTTCACTCATTAGGATCAATCCTACATGTCTTATTATCATGGATCTCTTCTTGGGGTTTGAATATTCGTTTTTTCCCTTCCAATGTTAAAATGATAATCATTCAGATTGAGTCTCTCCCTCTTACTCTAGAGGATGAAGAGAAAAACCATGATCAGTGGCAAATGGCAATTGCAGTTTCTGTATGCACAGAAAACATGCCACCTCCAGGCCTGGCTTATTAAAAACTCCTGAGCACCACCAGCCTTCATTGCTCACTGTCCTGCTCTGTTGTCATCCCAGTCCCGAGTCCAGAATACAGTGGGGCTCCGAGAGTGGTATAGTCCCATCTTGGTGAGGAAGGTCTGGGTCTTGAGTCACTGATTGAATAAGAGCTACCAAAAGAGCCTTCATCAATGTCAACTATGTGGGAATTTTGTGTATATGAAAATAAAATTTTATTATGTTAAGCCATAGTTATTTGGGGATTGATTGTATCAGCAATTAGCCTACTGAATAAAACAATGAGGTTATCATTAATATAATCATTTCAGAAATATCCTTTGCAAGTCTAGTTGACACTTTGCTAGTGATAAATGATTTTTATCTTTAAACAGCTCACAAGGGTATCTATTATTTCATAATTCATAAACATGACAGATACATTAAATGACTTTATTTTATTATTATTTTTTGGTTTAGCAGGCCTAGGTCGAGTTCAAACCTGCCACTCCCAAATGGCCTTATATTTTTAAATTTTAAAGTAGGTACCCAGTACTGAGAATGTTGTAACCAAAAAGCTTCAAGTCTTTGTGGCATTATTGCTGGACCAATAAGTCCTTCCACCTCTCACCAAGCCAATTAATGGAGAAGCAGATGGGAAAGCAATCGTTTCACTTTTATTTACAGAAAAATCAGCAATTTCATAGAGCAGTAAAGCTATCTCTTCAAAAAACTGCTCTGCTTTCCTGTTTTTCTTTGTTACTTTTAATATTCTCACAGTAAAAGCAAGCATTGGCAATGTTTTAATTAACATAGAATACATTAAACAGATTTATTTTCATAGGTCACAAGACTACACATATCCCCCATCTTAAAGTGGCTTTCCCTTCAAAGCAATCTTACTCTAGACTAAATTTATAGTCAGTCAGTACTGACTGGAGTTGGGGTGGGGGAGGAAGAGGCTGCAGATATCAGTGTTGGAGTCAGAGGAGCAGGGGGTATTGTTGCTTCACAGAGGCCATGTAGGTGGGCTGCCCCACAGCTGATCCAAGTCTTGGCAGAATTCCCCTTGATCCTTCCAGATTACAGGAAGTTTGTGAGTTGCTGTCACAAGACCCTGTCCTCAGCATCTCAGCTCTTATCTTCTGTGAGGTTGCTGCCACACCATGGTCCTTGGAGCGTCTGGTCTGGTCTTTTAACTTTATAATGGAGAACTCATTCATGAATAAACAACTCCAGATGGGACTCATTTGGCCCCACCCGGGTTGGTCCCCCAGTGTCTGTGTGTAATGGTTATTTAGAATAATAATGGATGTCATCAGTATAAACTGATGTTGAGCCAACACTGCAAAGTTCTTGGTATTTTTGAGGCCAAATTCTAAGCTAATATTAATAAATAATAAACTTTGTATTGCATTTTAATTGAGGTATAATTTCTATGCAGCAAAATTTCACCTTTTTTCATATTCAGTTTTACGAATTTTGAAAAATGCGTGCAATTATGTAAACACCACAAAATTCATGATATAAAAAGTTTCATCTCTCCAAGCATACCCTTGTACCCCTTTGTAATCAATCTATTTTTGTGGACATCATCCACTGGCAAGCACCGACCAGCTTTCTGTCTCTGTATATTTGTCATTGCAAAATATTATATAAATGGAATCACACAGCATGTGGGTGTTTGTGTCTTTTTTCCATGTGCGTAATGTATTTGAGATGAATCCGTGACACTTCATGGTAGAGTAGTCATTTGTTTTTATTGCTGAATAACATTCCATAGTTGAGGGTACAATATGTCAATTTGCTATTTTAAAATATATACGAATTACATCTAATTTTGGGGAACTATGACCAAAATTATTGTAAACCTTCAAGTACAGACTTTTGAGTTAACAAAACTTTTCATTTCAAGTGGGTAAAATAAAATCCCACATAAGAATCATGTAGCTGGGTTGTATGGTAAGAG